CAAAAAAAAAAAAAAAAAAAAGGAACTCAATAAACCATGAGAGGCCCTAACAAGTATAGGGAAGGGGCAGAGAGTGGACACTGCTGTTGAAATTGTATAAAATGGAATTTAAATGTGGAGCTACAATATGACCCACTAGTAGGAATATGCTTTTGAAAAGAACATATGCATTGGGACACAGTGGCATACACCTTTGATCTCAGCACTCAGGAGACAGAGGCACTCAGATTTCTGTGCACTCCAGGCCAGCCAGAATTACATAGTGAGTCTCTCTCTTTCTCACCAAACACCAAATACTTAAATGTTTACCTACAGACTTTGAAACTTTGTTTTTTGCGACTCACTATGTAGCCCTGACTGTCCTGGAACTCACTGTGTAGATCAAGATAGTCTCAAACTCATAGATACTATGTACAGTATTTGAAGTATATCTCAATTTAAGAATTATTTAATTACATTTCTTCATCTATGGGGGAGCATGGTGTGCAGATAAAAGTCAGAGGATAATTTGAGAAGAGTCAGTCCTCTCCTCCTTCCATGTGGGTTCAGGGGGTAGACCAAATCCCACTTTTATCAACAGTTCATCCCCTACACACCTTGTCCGCACCATCCCCCTGCTCCACACCAAGCCTGCACAGTCTTCCCTAGGTGAACAACAGGCTGACATACATGATACAAATCTGGGGAGGAAATACACCTAAAAGGCATCAGGTTCCTTCCTCATCAGTGATCATGATCTCACAGGACTGCCATGACAAGTCTGCCTCAGGAAGTCAGACCACAGACTGAAGGAACAGGACCCAGGTCACATGTTAGTGCCTTTTGTGGGGGATCGAATATCTCTGTTATGGAATATTTTGGGTCCCAAGCTCTGGCTGTCATAAACAGTGGTGGCACCAGGAAGCTCCGGGTCACCATTGTATTGTTAATTAACACTAGGCTGTTACTGTTTACCATGGCCTAAGATGATATGCCTCTTATTTGTATCTGTATGTGCCTAAGTATCTGAATAGGCCCTCACCTGGGTGGAGGAGCTGGAGGTATGAGTAACTTGGGAGAACAGGAAGTGAGGAGTTAAGAGGCTCGCTGCCAGAGCAGCGAGGGGACAAAGAGAGAAATGGTTGCCTCGTGGTATTGACAGGGTGGTTGAGAAACACCAGAAAAGATGGCTAATAAAGAAATGACTCTAGTCCCACAACATGGATCTGAGAGCTCTTTGAAGATGACAAGATGCCTGTGTTTGGTCTTTATCACCGTTGGGTTGCTCGAAGCTTCCAGGTCCACACACCCCCACTCATGGACTAAGGCTGAGACATGCTGGGTCACGACAGCCTTCCCAACTGAATCCCCCAAAACAGAAGAAAGAGTACGCAATTATAAACAGTAGCTGAACATATACACAGAACTCAAAGTCGTGAGAAATCCCTAAGCAATACAAAGACAGGTGGGAGAGGAGGCTGCAGATTGGGAAATCGTGGTGTAGTAATTCTTACTACAGTACATGGGGCCCAAAACCGTCTGAGGCAGAAACTGCCGTCTTCCTTCTGGACATTCCCTCAAACGATGAACATGTGAGAAATGTCCTGATTAAAATGTCAATTACAGAAAAGAATGCAGGCTTGGTAAACCAAAGAAGCAAGTTCATTAAAGAACCAGAACAAACCCCCAAGTTACAAAGATGGGATCTAGAGAAAAGAGCACTCATCTCAGAGCATGAGCAATCCAAGAAAGGGGCATGGAGATTCTGGAAATAAAAATACTGTGGGGACAAGGCAGACAACTGGAAGGAGACAAGGCCCAAGGGCTCACCATCAGCCACCATGTTGAGCATGATTGGGTTGATCACGGCTGCAGCAAACTCCCGGTAGAGTAGATCATGAGTTCTACTCCTGATCTTCCTGCCTCTACCTCCTAACTGCTGGGGTTGCAGGCTTGCACCACTGGTTTATGTGGCGATAAGGATTGAAGCCTGAGCCCCATACTTACCCAGCAAGCACTCTACCAAACCCCTTTCTGTCCTCTCCAAAATCTGCCTAAGAAGCCCCTGAGCCGGAATGGCATGATAGGCAGAGTACAAGTATATGTATATATGTAATATACTTGTCCAGGGTTCAAGTCCCTCCCACAGAATGCAATTCTGAGTTCCCCCAAACAGCACCTATTTCCACAACACTAGAGAGAGCTCCCAGGAGGAAGACAAGTGCCTCAGCCTCCTACAGAAGGGCTTTCCATCACAGGTCTAGTGGGATAGCATGGCACTGGGCAAGATAAATGCTGAAGGCCAGCAAGTACTCTATACAATATGCTAGCAGAGGCTAGCTACAGGAAGAGCGACAGACAGGGAGCTTCATAGAGGGCTCTAAAACTGACAAAGGGCCTTGGAGGCTGTTGCTGACCTGGGATGGAACATTGTTCTTACGTCATACCCTGAACACCTCTCCACATAAGGCAGGGCTGCAGATGCAAAGAGAGACCCATCACTATCAGGAGAGGGACAGAGACTTGAGAAAGGCATGGAGCAATGCTTAGTAAGCTAAAAGTTCAAAGCCTTAGAGAGTAACTGTGGAAACAAAGGATGTTCTGGGAAGAGACCTGAGCAAGTTACAGGGATGGAAGGGCAAGAGGGGCCACCACAGTCGGGAGCACCCAACACTCTCTTCCATCTCTAAACACTACTTTCACCTACTCTCCTGTTTCTCCTTCCCTCCCAGCCACTCAGGCCTTCTGGAAGGGTCTCACAGCATCTTACCTCCATCTAGGGAGGCTTCCCCAGACTCTTTCTCCTCACTCAGCTCTGCTACATCATCACTTTTCTGACCCAAACCATAACCCCATCACTTGCTAGGCCAGAACTTGTCTTTTAAACAGTCCTCATGATGCAATTCTTTGACTTTGCGTACTGTCCTGAAGGTTTCCTTGTATGCTGTCTCTCTCTTTCAGAAGGACACATAATAAAGGGACCAGTTCCCCTTTTGGCAGCCATAACGGCCGAACACGTGCTTGTCTGACCTTGTCCTAGACACTAGAAAGTCAGACGCCTGCCTCGTGACAAGGAACCAATCAGAAGTTAGCTGGTGGTGCTATGCTTTACGACCCTGGGTGTACTTTACGGACAAGTGCACAGCAATGACGCACAGAGCATAGCAACCACCCTGGGAGGGTCTATGGGCCATAACAACCAGTTGGCCAATCAACACAGGGCAAGCCCTCCAAGCCTGGAGGCACACCAATCCTGAGCCTATGCATACCCCTAGACACTCCCCTTATGCTGCCCTATAAGATCTCTCGGGAGCCCCTAGGAGTTGTCTTTTGCGAGCCATCTGCCATGGCGGGTGGGTGAAAGACCCGAGCTAACATGTGGTTAGCTCGCTAAAAAAATAAAGCCTCATACAGTTTGCAGCAAGCTCTCGAATCCGCCTGGTGACTGGAGTGACCGAAGTCATGGCCTGGGACCCCGGATACCTGAGTTTTTCAGGGTCTAACAATACATGAGGCATGTTGCAACCATTCAGCAAATACCTCTGAATAAATTAGTTGACAAAGCCCCAAAAGGCATGGATGAGACTTCCTGGGGAGAAGCTGTGTCTACAGACAGACTGATTAGAGATACAGCAATGTGGAGAGGCTGGGGGGCTACAGAGACAGGGACTGGGGGGTGGGTGACCCCCCAAAAACCTTGCCCACTTCTGTGACTATAGTAAAAGCCTTTTGGAATTTATCAATCAGATAGCATCTGAGACTCATGGGCAATTCCCTCACCTTACTAGAACCCTTCTCTCGGATGTCCCTGACACTGCATTTTTTTTCTTTTTTGGTTTTTCGAGACAGGGTTTCTCTGTGGCTTTGGAGGCTGTCCAGGAACTCACTTTCTTCCCTGGTTTGTAGGGAGCCGTTCCTGCATTCTCCATTACAATGATGGGGCCTGAAGACACCAAATGTAAATTACTTCACAGGCGCTGGGTAATTTCCATTCCTTTGATCTCTGCCTATCCCGTGGCTCATTTGGCCTGAGGAGCTGAAGCCATTCATAGGGTAACACGTCCCAGGCGGCTGCTTGCCAGCACTTTGTTAACATCACTGGCACTGCGGAGACCCCTCTAACGGGGCGGATTCAGAACTGCAGGGTGGTAAATTCGGAGAGGTATGTCTTTTCTGGACTTTGGCTTGGGAATGTTGCTATTTTGGGAGGTTAATGTAGAG